CAAATTTGAAATTTATTGTGCCATGTTGCTGGTGGTGCCTTGGCACGACAGCAACATCATCAGCGGGAGCAACAGTTGCAGGAGCAGCGCCCACACATACAAAAAAAATAGAGCTTGAATATATAGAAATTTCTATTCCTCAAGAGAAGCAATTTTCTTTTAGAAAAATGTAAGAAAAATGTTTCAAAATGTGTCTAAATTTTGTACTAGAAATCCTTTAAGGCTTTTCTTTCTCTGCACAAATACAGGGCCGTTAGGCACTTGGCCTAGTATTTATGCAGATTGGCCGCGTGGGTGGTCACACTTTCTTTTCCAACTGCAATTGCACTTGTCCATTAGCATTTAAGGCAATATTTGCATATTTGCCATGCGATTTTCCTACCCTATTGATGCCCGGGCTCTGATTGCTTTATGAGCTGTCGCTTGGCCTAATGTTCGCATAATGTTTATGGTCGGGCATAAAGGAAAAATCTGTGCGGCAGCATCCGACAGTTGACAACAGGAATGGCACAGGCAACGGAAGACTGAGCCAATCAGCAACATCTTCGTTAGCTGCTTGCCCCCATCCTGCAAGTTGCAGTTGCTTTTACGGCTTTGTCATTAATCAAATGGAATTGAAATGCGCCGCGTGTACATCACACGCCGTTGTTGTAGTTGCCAATGTTGTAGCTGTTACTGCCGCAGCTGAGCAGCGCCCATTTGGAGTTTGCCATTTTTGCGCATTTTAATCATGCCCGTCTCGCCTGTAGTTATTTGGCGTTTTTTTTTCTGCTTATACGCCTGGCTGTGCCAAAGAGATCTGCGGCAGCTGATAAAGCAATGGCATTGCTGTTGCCGGTTGCTTGTTGCTTCGCTACACGGTAAGAAATATTGGGGGGCTGTGGAATAGGAAAAGCAAGGCTAAAACCGAGAATTCTTTTACAGAGTTCCGTGAAAAATATACAGAAATATTTTATATTTAATAGATCATTTTATTAAAAAATTGTTTAATATCTAAAAGAATATATTTCATATATTTCCTTAGCAAAGATATTATTACCTTGAATCTAAGTTTCCTTTCCGTGTAACAAGTTGCTGTTGTTGCCGGCTGCCTCTGCCACTGGCACTGCCGCTGCTGCTGCTGCTGTTGCTGATGCCGCCAACGCAGACTGCGGCCAAAATGATTAATACATCTTGATGCGATTTGGTTTGTAAGGCAGGCGCAATAAAAACGCGACTTTTGATTGACAATGGCAGCAAAAAGCCGGAGATGCCGGCCGTTGATTACTTCATTAGGCGGGGTTCGGACTTGGACTCGGACTTGGATTCGGGTTCGGTTCGAAAGTTGCTGCGACCGGGAGGAGCATTTGATTCAATTATGCATTTGCATGCAATTGAGCCATGATCTGCGGGCCACTAGCGGCATCTCTGCAGCTGCAATTGGCAAACAGCAATTGGCCACTGCAACTGCAACTGCCACATGTCTTATCAGCCGCTGAGCTATTGGTCAATTGGTCAACATCCGGTTAATTCGCTATTGGGGGCCGGCTGCCTCTCTCAACTGGTGGGCGATAATTATCTAGTTTTGGCTGAGAAATGATCGACTGCCTCGTGGCACTACGCTAACGATGACAATTTGCAGATCGGAGAGCGGGAAGTTGAGGCAACTGGTAACTGGCAGTAATATGCAAGCTCCTGTGCGTTTTTTGATGCGTTTTACGAGCGCTTTTCGAATGGCTTTCGTAATTTATGCGTTGGTGAAAAATTTCACAATTTGATTATGCTCACAGGCGGGCTGCTATTAATATCGGCACAAGTACATACGATTGCCTCTGGCTCCCGAAAGTATGCTGCAACTGGTTTGCCTCGATCCGTGGACATGATTAACCCATTTTCGTGGACAATTATCACATTGTGTGCACGCACACACTGCGTATACGCAACGCGGAACGAAGCCAAACGAAACGCCCCATCGTTTATCTCAATAAATGTGATTACGAGCCGAAGAGTCGCCGCTTTCCACCACTGATGGCTCCATTTTGGCCAATCGAAGTGCAATTTGATTGCGGTACGTGAATCAACTTGGCTTGGCTCAGTTTACCTTACCGGTTTTTCCCCTCAGCCGCATTGTCTTCCTTACACTCCGCAGTCTTCTTTTATGAAATCTCGCCGCAATCGGGGGAATTATTTTAATTGATTGAGTCCGCGATAGAGGGGGTGCCTATAAGTCTTCATATAAACTATATATACATATACCACGGTGGTGTGGGTTAAGTGCAACTGGTTTCTGTTTTTATGCGCACGCATTTGACGATTGGTAATTGAAACTTGTTAGTGAAGACATTAAAAAATCGTTTAGCGCGGTATTTGGGTTAAAAATGCGTGGAAAATCGTGCAAGCAAAGCGACAAGCGGAGCGCCAACCAGAAAGAGCTGAAAAAGAAGAAGCCAAAGCGTGTGATTTTCATTGATTTGCCAGGCGCAGGATGAGGGGTGAAGTTGAAGAAAATTGTGTAACCGCAATATAAAAATTCCTGCACATAAACTAATCTCAGACGACGGCTGCCTTTTTGACTACCGCCACTATGCATTTTTCCAGACAGTATTTTTCCCATTTTCTATGTATTATTTTTACATTTGACGCCCGCAACAAAAGACGATGATGCTCATGGGGACGCTAATCATCATGACCGGGCCAGACCAAAGAAATTGTGCCGAAAATTGCCACATTTTTCCACATATTTCCTAACCATTTTCCTTTGTCTGCCGCAATTTGCATACGGGAATAAATCATCGCTGCCAGCCTGTCTGTCGGCTGGCACAAACTGTGTAAATAAATATGCCAGAGAGCGAGCTTAATTAAAAACACTCGAATTATTGGAACGCTATTATTTATGGGCCATAATCGAGGAGGCCGCAACATAAAACCCATCATGCTATCATGTTTTTTAAATGATGCCGCCTCGGGCTGTTTGCATTGGCCAAAATGCGCTAACAATTTCTACGATTACGATTGCGATTACCATGCAGCATCCAGCATCCAGCATCCATAGTCAGTCGGGGGAATAAAATGCAGGCAGTACTGCCATTCGTATTCGAATTCGCATGCATCTTCATTGCGGCCCCGAAGATGGGAAGATGCATGTGCGGAGCCACATCCACGGCCACTAGCTGAGCTCCATCCACGTCCATGATTGGCTGGCCGCCAGTTATATGAGCACGTCTCTCCACTGGCCAACTTTCTTTCCCGACTCGTCGGCCCCGCATCCAAATCACAATAATCGTGCTCAAATTAGTCAATATTTGAGCGCTAAAATGCTCAAACAAAGGCTTATTATTTTATGTTTTGTATTTTTTTTGCTCCGTTCTGCCGGCGCCGCTGCGCTTTTCCCCGCTGCTGGCCATAAAGTATATATAAAGTAATTTCTGCATTTTAAACATGATTATTAAATAAACTACTAGGCTTTCAGACGGCAGGCAAATGACCACAACCGATTACGCAGAGTTTCGCAGAGGTTTTTTTTTTTAAGCTTTTTTTGGGAGAAATTTCCAAGACGATGGAATAACGATAAAAGCCAGGCCAAAGACTGCTGCCGACTGCAGACTGGGATCTGGAAACGAGCTCACCTTTAAAATGTTAACTGGTCTGCACTTGCTGTTGCCTTTTCTTCCTCCTTTGATCAGGTGTTGAGGCTGCCTCCGTCAGAGCTATTTCTTTTATTTCCAGAGCCCCGCTCCGATGCCAGCTAGATTTCCCCACAGATACCGCCGCACTTAAGAGCTTCTAGCAGCAGCAGCAGCAGCAGCATCTGAAATATTTTCCAACAGCGGCATTTTCTCTACGCTTTGCCCTTATCTAAAGTATGCAAGCCCCAGCTTCGCCACTGAGCAATGCAAATTTGTTAAGTCATTTCTGTTTGTGGTTCTCACGCTGCCACGCCACGTAAGGTCCATTTTTCATGCATATACTACGTACTACATAAGCGACTTGGGTCGGAGTCAGAGTCGGAGTCGGTTTCGATGTCGGTGTCAGTGTCGGGGGAGCAAAAAGGAGTAGAATCAATTTGACAATTTGAACATTTGGCACATTTGCCAGAACACGACTCGGGGGTACGTTTGCGGGCAGTTGGCGATTCCAATGCCGATACCGATATGCTAACTGAAAAGGCAGTTGGGGCCTGTCAGTTCGATCACCTTTGGGTACAGTCTGGCACTCAACAAAAATAATTTAAAGTTCTTTTTACCAAAATAATTACATATAACCATGGTACAGGTGCTACTAAACAAGGCTAACTGGTTCTAGAATTATTAGATTATTATTTTAATACATTTTTTCTTCTCTTATTTGTGGGTTTTTTCTTCAAGTGTACCCTCATATGTTTGTGTACTCAATATGGAATATACAGTAGCCACACACTTTTTATTTGTTTTCTTGCAACTATTCTAAATGCCGGGCACTTGCCGAATCTATGCAAATGAAACAAGCCAAGACAAAAAGTGTTTGCTGGCCAAATACAAATAGAAGGAAAAAACTGTCACAGCGACAGGTTGAGGCTGAGTTTGGCATTAGCCAAAGTCCGCGAGATTTACGAGTCGAGCACGCCAAATGTGTTTACACTTTGTCACCCTTCTGTCAGTTTGATTTATTTATTTGCAGATAGCCGGCCGGCCGGCTGATGTGGCTGCCTCAAATTAAAATGCAAGTATGGCCGGAATGCAGGCTCGGACCATGTGGCTAGAATGAGCCAATCCGAATCCGAATGCGAATACGAATGCGAATGACTGATTGACTTAAGTGGCCAACTGACAAGTGGCTTTAATCAATCGGTGTGACTTTTAATGCAATGCGCGAGTGTGTGTTAAAGAAATTGAGAAATCGAAAGGGAAATTTAGAGCAGTCTTCTTGGAAAATATAATATAAGGGAAAATAAGTCCTATATTTATACTTTAAGATTAATATATTTTATGTTCCTAGCTTTTCTTTGGCTTTACTAATCCCTTAACTTTTAATTTCTTCCCCAGCTTATTAACTCTTCCGGTTCAACCAGTACCTGGTTCTTCAAGGCGCTACTCTGGCGCTTCAGGCTCAGCAAATGATCGGCACCGAGGATATGTCCGCATCGGCTGGCATGGACATCAGTGAGTCCTTTCGTGCCGAGGATCTCTCGAAGGCGGATTTCTTTGATTTTGTCACTGGCCCTGACATGGGCATTGGCATAGGAGTGGGCGTGGGTGTTGGCGTGGAAGCCCTGGGCGTCACACTGCACCAGCAGCAGCACCAGCACCACCAGAGCCATCAAAACCATCAGAACCACCAGCAGGCGCCGCACAGTCACAACAGCCACAACAACAATCATGTTCAGGTGGTGCACCAGTCAGGAAATCCGCAGTCCCAACAGCAGAGCCTCTGCGGCGGCGGCGGTGCGAGAACCACCAGCAGCATGATCCACGACGGGGGAGGGGGATCTGGCGCTGGAGCAAATGGCAGCGGCGTCGTGGTGCCCGTGGGCAACCGCAACGGCAGCAGCAACAACGGCGATCCCACGTTACAGGGCTACGAGGTGAGCAATGATCTAAAAGCTTTAGATATTTTCTATATTTAGTTTTTCTAGGGGAAATCACTAGAAACATCATCAAAATCCACTTTCTGACGTCTCCCTTCCACTTCTATCCACCTTTCAGTTCTGGCACCAGGACAAGGAAAGCAACCGCCTCGACTCCAGCTCAATCTTCGAGGACCTAGACCGCTACTGCTGGCAACAGCAGCCTGTCACCACCAGCGCCAGCAATGGCGGATCCACCAGCACAAACCAGCCCAGTCCCACCTCGCCGCAGTCCCACCTCCAGCAACAGCAACAGCAGCAGCAACAATTACAGCAACACCCGCAGCTGCAGCAGCAACATCAGCAGCAGCCGAATGCGAGCAGCTCCTCGGGAGCCTCGAGCGGAGCGGGCAGCAGCAGCGATACCATTAGCAGCCTGGACACCACCGACGGGCAGATCTACACCCTGACAGTATTAAACGGCGGCGAGCCCTGGCTGAAGCGCTCCGAGGCGGAGCAGCTGCCCAGCTCGCTGGACTTGGACAGCCTGCTAAGCAGCTTTCCGGGCTACATCAAGTCGGAGTATCCCTACGACGACAGCGGCTTTAGCACGGACGGCAAGGATGTGATCGGCAGTGGAGCGGATGGCAGTGGCCTGAACCAGAACCAGAACCAGGGACAGCAGACGCCGCAGGCTCTGCCCTCGCTGGTCACAGCGATCTCGCTAGCGGGTGGCAACGATTTGGGTCAACAGCTGGCGCAGTTCCAGAACAACAACAACGACTGGCACATGGCGGATCATAACACGGACACGGAGCAGAGCACAGCGGAGTCCTTACTGAGGAGCGCGCTTCAGGGCAAGGGGTACGCCAAGGGACTGCACATGCAGAATGGCTTGACCATGCCCGTGGTAAAGGACGAAGATATGCGGCGCCTGCTGTTTGCCGACGAGGCTGCTGCCCTCGGGTTTGCAGACTCCACCCTGAGTGCCGCCCAGATCTTCGACGAGGCTCAGGGCATCCACCTCAGCTCTCAGCAGCAGCAGCAACAGCAACAGCAGCAGCAGCACAATGGCAGTGCCAACATTTTGGTGGACGACATGTTCCTGTCGCTGGAGAACGCCTTCAGCGATGATTTCGAGAAGATCAAGCGCATTGCCAATGAGGTGCAGCAGTTCTGCAGCACGCCTACTCCGGGAGATTATGGTCAATCCGCTGCCGACGTGCTGATGCAGATCTCGCCCAATCCGGCGGCCAGCGTGGCGGGGCAGCTGCAGCCACCGCAGCCACTGAAGCCAGAGGTTAGCACTTCCACCTCGCCCTCGTCATCGGTGGGGGTGTCCAAGTCCAGTGGCAGCGGCGGAGGAGTCAGCAAGCCCAAGAAACAGTACAAGCGGAGCAGCAGCGGCAACAACAACAATCCCAGTGTGGCCAATAATAATAGCAATGCAAACAGCAGCAATCCCTTGGGCCCGGTAATCGGAGCCACTGGCAGCACCGGCAGCTCCTCCTCCAGCGGCAGTGCCAGCAGCAGCAGCAACAGTCCGCCGGCCAACTCAGGCGGCAGCTCGTCCTCCTCGTCCGGAGGCAGTGGGCAGCGGAAGGAGCGCTCTCTACACTACTGCTCCATCTGCTCGAAGGGATTCAAGGACAAGTACTCGGTGAATGTGCATATAAGGACGCATACGGGCGAGAAGCCCTTCGCCTGCTCGCTGTGCGGCAAAAGCTTCCGGCAGAAGGCCCACCTGGCCAAGCACTACCAGACGCACATGACCCAGAAGAATAATGGGAACCTCATCAAAGGCAGTTCCGGCAAGCACCAGCGATCCAGTGGTTCCTCTTCCTCGGCCGCAGCAGCTGCAGCGGCAGCGGCGGCGGCAGCAGCGGCAGCTTCTCTAAATCCGCGACAACTGGGCGGTGGTGGAGTGGTGCCACCTTCCTTGCCCGTGATGATCAGCAATCCCAACACTCCACCGGGGGTACTGCCACCGGCCAACGGACTGCTCAGCAATCGGTAGTGTCCAGGGCGAGGGGAGTGCCATTCCCCCGGCTAAAATACTATATTTCTTGTTCCTTACACACAAAATACATACACACAAATAGAACACAATCGAAGATGTCCTACTGTAACTACCTAAACTGTTAAATACTTAAACGCCCAAATACTCCCGACTCGAATTTACGTCATTGATGGATTCCTACTTCAGCTCTCTGTGCGATTCCTATGCCCACACACACAGACAGACAGATGCACACTCTCTCGAAGCACTTCCAAATACAATACTGAACCTAATGTACATTTACACAAACTAATTAAATTTAAATGTGCCAAATTCTGAGGATTTTAATTATGCTACTAAAGTTAAACTAAAATAGTATGCTAGGCGTGTAGAAATAGAAGTGTAATGAAGCTAACGAAGCAATTCCACGAGTGGTGATATCAAAATGAGGCCAAACGCTTCCTTGCTAAACAGAAACAGAATATTTTCCGATCCAATTTCCAAAACCGGACTCACCGGGAGTCCCCTAATCCTCCTAATCACCCGCAGCTCTCACAGTCCTTAGCTAGCCCAGCACGATGCGTGTTTCCTGTAAATTGAAAGTATTTGTTTTCTTAGTTGCTCTGCCCAAATTAGCGTAAATTTGTTTGCTAGTGTTAATGTATATATACTCGTAAATAGAGTTAGGTTTTTACTACAAATAAATAAATACAAACTAAAAGCCAGCAAGGGGAATGCCAAATATTTTTGAGGAAGGAACACTCTAGACCCGAGGCACCCATTCGGAGCTCATCCTACAGCAATTCCCCGCTCCTTTCTCCTTCAAGGATCTCTCTGATCTCTTGGGCCGAGTGTTAGCCAACTTCGAGGGCATTCAGACGGGGCACCAGCATTACTCTATTAGTGTATATTTTATGTTCGTACACTGAAGCTCGAAACACTCCAAACTCCAATGTTCAGCAGTTGTTTACCCGAATGCAACTCAACTTGCACTTGCCATTATTTTTGTATTTTGTATTTGATAAACACAAGGCGCATTACCAAGGCGAATGCGCCATTATTAAAGATAACACACACAAACACACAAGACACACATTCCCCCAACTAGTGTATGGACTAGGCTAAGCTTATTAATAAAACAGCTATAGTTAATGGTTAATTAAACTGCCAATTATTTTGTGATAGTTTTTAATGGACAATAGATTTAGATTACGCAAAAATATCTTCAATGGTGTTTGGGTTATGTAACGTTTTAACGATTTGTTATAAACTGTGTACACTTTGCAATACGAGTATTTCTGCTAATTTATTGAACTAAATAGTTTATGTACATAGAGAGCGCTCCTTGTTTATATCCAAGCCTAGGCTAAACCACACATCGAAATCTTAGTTAAATCTTTGTTAGTTATTATTTATGCACACACACACACACACAAACACCTGGGCGAAAGCCACTCTCACACACACACATCCCATCTGCGGTTAAGTTTTGCATTAATTTTTTTAGTATTGCAAGCATTAAAATAAAGAAATCTAAAACGTTTTATTGACAATTAAGATGCGCCCCGTGTGCCTGCTGTTTGGGTCTGTCGTGGGTTAATTAGTTTTAGCTCGTTACGGAGCTGGCTCTGACCGAGGTCTGAAATAATTTTCTCCAATAAAGGAGCTTGAGCGCACATGAAAGCGCATGCAGCTGCGCATGTCAACAACGTATTGCAACTGCAGCAGCAACAGTCGCAGCAGCACCAGCAGCAGCAGCAGCAGGCAGGCAGGCAGGCGGCACTTGTCAGTCAAAATCAAAGTACCCGGCCCCAGACTGCCGACATCGTTTGGCGGGGGGTTACAAATGCGTGCCATCAGCGCAGATTAGAGAAAATTTTTCACTCCACGATAGCTGCAACACGACTCCAGCACTGGCAAAAATTTACCTGATTTCTTTGTATTTTTATATAATTTGTTTTAATATTGCAAGCGTAAGTACCCATGGCGACTCTGTTTAAAATAACATAACATCATTGTTCACCTTGTTAAAAAATATTTAAAAATATTTAATCATTACCCAATGGAACATTATAAATGAAGGCTACTCTAAAAATTTATTTGTTTCTTCCTGTGCACTACTGATGGTGATGCCTCCGCGGCCGACCAAGTCGTTTGAGATCGAAACATGTCGATTAGGGAATTTCAAGAGGCGCCAGTTGCCGTCGCACAGGTGGCTAACATCAGTGCGCACCTTTGGGGAGCTGGAGCCCGGGTATTTCAGTGATCGGTGTGCTCAGTGCTCAGTGTGTTTAGCTGCCAGCACGCGTCTTAATTGCTTTTGATGTTGAACTTTGAGCCGACGAGCTGCTGTGCAAATATTTGCCAAATGAAAATCGGGAAGTGCAGATCCCCTCGAGTGGGGTGAGCGAAACGAAAGGAAAGTCATATTTGATGGCTGCACGAATAACCATAAGCACCAGGCAGCTGCACTAGCGTGGGTCGTAAAAGGCAAACCCTTGGCCACTAACAAAAATCGATTCACCTTTAGTACCTTTAACTAGAGTTTCAGGCTCATAAAATTTACGGTCTCACGGTGGAAAATAGTTTTTTTTTTCTATAAGAGAGTTCCATTTGCGTTTGCCGATAAAGTTCGTGCATTGTCTTAATATCTATTTTAATTGCATGTTCGAAGTTATACCCCTGAAGCCAAATATTTTTTTATTTGACTTCTTAAGCAACTTTTTTATCTGCGGAAAATAAAATGTAGTGAAAAAACACCCTTCGAAGACTTTATCCTGTAGAATGTCACTTCCAGCAGCCACACCAGGGAGGACAGCACCGCCATGAAGGCAAAGCCATACCATATGTACTCCAGGTCCTGCAGCTGCATGGCACGGAACTCCCGCCGCGGACTCAGGTCTATGAAGTGCATCTCCCCCGCCTCAATTAGCTCCGAGAAGACCTTCGTGAGCCAGTATTGGGATAACCCCGTTTCGGCCAGCTCCATAATCAGCCGGAGTACCGGTTCCATGAACACCGAGTTCTCGTGCAGCGGCAACCCAAAGGGGACATTGTTGAAGAAGCAGAAATCCTCTCGCATGCGGAATAGGGGTCGGGAGAAGACTTTCTGCTGCTCGTTGATAACCACCCATCGGCCGTTGGTGATCATGTAGCCATACCGTGTGTCCATTGTGTCCCGACGAGCGAGATACTTGCTAAAGTCCGGCTCCACCAAAAACATGGGCTCGTACTTGCGAAACTCCAGGAGGCGACCGAACAGCTCAGCATACTCCGGTTTCCAGGCCACCACCTTCAGCTTGGAGGCCAGCACATCATCGTAGTTCCTGAAAGCGGGCTGCTTGGGCGCGGTGGTCACGTAGCTGGAGAAATATGAGTTGTACCAGGCGGTGATCAGGATGCCAAGAACGCAGATCTCCAGATAGATGCCCCTCACGAGGATGGGTGCTCGGAACACCTCCACAAAGGATTGCCCGAGGACTCCCCTCAGGCAGCTGTCATGGAGCAGGAAATCATTGATGGACGTTGGATAGCCATGGAGACACAAAGAGCTGGCCAGCAAGCAGGAAATCATCACGAGGGCACCCAGAGTCAGCAGAGAGGCGCTCAGCTCAAAAACCCTGGTGTAGTACTCCAGAGGTGGCACATCAGCCTCCACCGGCATCATAATGCACCAGTTCAACTGCTCGTACGGGTAGCTGAACCCAAAAGGAGGAAACGGCGGAAAGGTCAGCGACATGGACATCTCAACGGAATTGTTACGCACCGCTGCCACCGTTTGCATCGAAGGAGCAAATTCCAAAGGATTCGCGGCTTTCAGGGGCTGCACAAGTTTGCAGTTAAACTTTTGCTGGAAGGCATTCATGAAATGTCCCACAGTGCCCTTGTAGACCACTCGACCCTTTCTGTCATAGTAGGCAATCATTCGTGGAGCTGTGCCGCCAATGATCACGGGCATCTCGTACTCATGGAAATTTCTCAGGCGATCGGGAAATATGAGTGAGGCTTCCAGGTCAGAATCGTAAATACGCTCTTCGATTTGGAGAATTGGAAAGTGCGAGTAGCTGTAGAAGGTCTTGGTTCTCTGCCATCGATAAGGAAGTATATTAAAAAAATAATTTAGTTCAAAAAAAGATAAATTCAAAATTTGAGCACCAACCTCATGATCTGCAAACAAAACCATAACATTCAGAAGTTTCTTTAGCCAGCAGTCTTTAAACAATTCATAAAGCCCTGCACTTCTAGCTTCCATTTCTATAATAAATATCACCCGAGACGTGGTCATGTGCCTAAGATTCGCCACTAGAGCCTGAAGCAGACCCCTGTGCTCGTCTAGATTTACATCACTCATTAACACCATCGAAATTAGTCGATTGCTTGTAAAGTTATGAAAGAAGTAGTTGACATTCTCGTCCAGCTGGAGGACTGGAACCTGCACTGTGTCCATGATATCCTTTGCCAAACTGCTGCTGTTCCACACCTGATCCGATGCACTCATGTTCTTGTTCCTCATGAGCAGCACGTACTCAAAGTCCGACTCCTGCCTAATCCTGCCCAGCAATTCTGTGAGCGTGGAGGCACTGGCAAGACTAATCAACCAAAGGCTGAATAGGATCCACTGCGGGCAATCCATCACGACGGTCGAGGGACTACTGCATGACACTGATTGATGCCGCTGCACATTTAAAGGGTTGCTAATGAATCCACCGACGAGGCCGCTAATGGTTAATTCCAATTAGCGGCTTGTGTTAACAAGTCTCGGGCAAAAACAAGGGAATCCAAAAAACATTTCCCAAGGGAAAACCATACGGGAAAAAACAAGTAAAATAACCTCAATCGGACAGGTTTGGCGACATACTTAGATGTCGCTGTTCACACTACAATAGGACCCTAATGACCGAATTGAAATAATAAATTTGATATTAGGATATAAGAAGGACCAATTATTTAATAAAAGAAATAAATTTGTGTTCTTAAAATAAATAACAAATGTACTTTTTATTAGTATTTTTATTTTTTAATTTCATTTTTAAGAACTTAAGTTGTTAAATTTCTGAACCACAAAATTCCTGTCAATATCCTTCGCAACCTATTTCGCCATGACCAAAGGAGCTCCCCTATAAACACCATAGTGGCCAGTCCTAGCATGAATCCCCCAGCTATCCACACCTGCTCCAAATCCTCCACTTTCATGGCCCGAAATTCCTTTGGCTGACTCCGATCGACAAGTTGCAGCTGACCAGCCTTGACCATTTCCGTGAGGGCCATGTCCCGCCAACGAGCTAGAAGACCCGTGGCTGTGACATCCAGAATGAGACGCTCCAGGGGCTGCCTGAAAATCGAGTTATCCGCAATGGGAAACACAATGGGAATCGTGTGGTAGACACAGAGATCCTCCCGCAGGGTAAACAGAGGTGAACTGAAGACCTTCTGTTGCTCCTTGATCAGTGACCACTTCTCCAAGGGCATCATGTATCCATATCTGGTGTCAAAGGAATCTCGTAGCTGCAAAAATTCTTGGTAGTCCGATTTAATCCTAAATATGGACGTATATTTTCTCATGCTTTCGGAAATTTGAATAAGCTTCTCGTATTCAGGTTTCCAAATCACCACCTCGACATTGGAGTGCTCGATGCTCTCGTAGCTGGTGAACGGCGCTTGTCTTGGGGCACTGGTCACAAAGGTTGAAAAGTAAGAGTTGTACCAGGCGGTGATCAAAATGCCCAGCACACATATGACCATGTATATGCCTCGCACCAGGGCTGGAGCTCGCAGGACCTCGTAGAAGGGCTGGGCCAGCACTCCTCTTAGGCAGCTGTCGTGGAGAAAGTGTTCTGTAAAACTAGCTCTGTATCCATGAAGACGCAGGGCCAAGGATAAGGTTAGAGAGATCACCACCATTACCAAGATCGTGAGCCAAAATGTTAAAGGATCGAATACTAAAGAGTAAAACAGGCTGTGAGGAACCTCCGAGGGCACTGGCATCATCAGGCACCAGCTCATTAGCTCGATGGGGTAGGTGTACCCGGAAAACGGAAAATCTGGGTAAATCGCCGCCAAAGCGAATTGCACACTGCCATTTCGCACAGCTCCAATCAGTTGTCGAGCTGGCTGAATTGAAGTCTTATTGAAAGGATACGGTTGCACCATTTTACAATTGTAACGCTGTTCGAAGCACTTCATCAAATTTCCCACTGGACCCGAGAAGATAAGTTGCCCATCCGAGCCACGATAGACAATAAGGCGCGGCGAAGAGCCACCCAGGGCAATAGGCACTGAATAACCTTGAAGATCCTCCAAATGTGACTCGAAAATTAGGGTACTATTCTCCAAACGACGCTCAATAAACTGGAGTATGGGAAATGGTGAGTAGCTGTAGATAATCTGAGATTTCTGTAAATATCAAACAAATGCCACCGTCAAATAAATCTTTTTTAAATTGTATATTACTTAATAAATTAAATGAAAACTCAGGGTAGTAAATAAATCTCACCTCAAAGTCCCGTCCTACGGCAACGACATTAAGCAGTTGATGATGCCAACACCATTCAAAAAGCGGATACACTCGCACACTCTCTTTCTCCAAAACCATAAGCACTGGCAAGGTATTAAGAAAGCCTAGATTTACGTGTAGAAGATCTAAAATTCTTTCCGAGGATTCATGAACGAAAACTATGGTTAGAAAGTTTTTAGATTGATCAAACCCCAAATGGTAGTTTTCCTTGGACTCTTCATTAATCTGGATAATGGGAACTGGTAACTGAAATAAAGTCTTCTGCCAAATTGGGTCCGAGTTTCCCAACAGGACAACAAACTCAAAGTTAAGTTCTCTGCTCAGATGAGGCAGTAGGTGACGGTAGCTGCAATCCCCGCCTGGACTCAAGAGCACGAAGGTAGCCAACAAAAGGTGCAACTGACCCATGTTGAATGTGCATTTAAGAATTTTCAACTGCTGCTTTTATTCTATCCTTGCCACTGCCATTAGCTGTCTCCGGGGTATGAGGTGTTGGTCACCTGCTGATTGATTAAACATAGCACGTGATGTTTTTGCTTTGAGTTCATCAATGCAATTACACTCCACTCTACGAAGAACTTTATTGTAGGAACTTAAATATAAATAGTGCGGGGCTTCAACCCTTACATTTTATTTAGCGTGCATTCTCAAGTCAACTAGTTTGGCGTTTTCAAGATACTTTTCGCCTGCGGCACATAGATTGGTGAAAAGTACATCCCGTTTTAGGCACATTTGTGCAGGTGACTTAGCCGACCTGTAGATGGGAAGCCCCAGGATATTCATGGTGGCAAAAGTACAACTCAAGTACAGATATCTGAAGCGCTGGTGTTGAAGTTTAACCGCAGAACATCCCATGTGCGTGTTGCGTTCGGACATCAAAAGTGCAACTCGAAGGATGAATCTAAAAAAAATAAAGAAACAGTCAGATTCTGGATTAGATTCGAATCTTGATTTACGCACTTCAAGTCACTGTTTTCGGAGAGGAAGGCGGTTTGCTTGGAGGTCACATAACGTCCCTCGCTTGTCCATTGCGAGATCATCTCTGTTATAATTTTTAAGCTATTCTGTCTTTTGCCCAAGTAGCTGTACATATCAAAGATGCTGCCCATGTTGGGAAAGTTCGGTGACGTCATGCAGGGACGCGTCATGGACACGCAGCTCATCGCATCCATCATGGCGAAGTGCTCCAGCTCCGGTGACCACTGGATGCGAGCCATTCGTCCTGCGGGGAGCAATTTATGGGTCAGGCCGGCGGCCGCCGTGTTCCTAAACTGGTTAACCGTGTTGAGAATTACATTCCTTTGTTCATCACTCAAGGACACCAATCGGGCTCTTGGTCGGCAAGGAGAGCTGTAGTTCTATCAAAAATGTATTCCTTTATTCAACATCAACGGTTGATTTGGCCATAGTATCTTACGACTTTTCGGCAAACAACGTTCTCCTCACCGCAACGTGACAAATTGCAGTAGATCAACTTGTCTATCTCAAAAGCCACAAGGCCGGGTATAGATCCAAAGACCAGAAATATTGCCAACACTATCGAAGACATTATTGATTAGACCTCTACGCTAACACTAAAGTTTCGGTGGCCACTCCAAGGCTTTTTAAAGGCTGAACAAGAATGTATAAAATTCAATGAAGCAATCATTTTTTTCATTTCCATATAAACCCATTTTTATTGATCATTATATTGCAGGCTTACTCGATATCAGCGATAAAAAATTGTTGATTCAGTGGCTAAGGGGAAAAATGAGGCAGGCCAGTAGCTAGGAATTCGGAAAATGTCATTGTAATCAAGCTAACAGAAGCTGATACTTAATAAAAAAAAAATAGGGGTGAGAAGTCTATGATTAATTACAAATACTTTTGTATATTCAAAACATTGGTTTTTGGGATTTTAATACATTATTATCTAAAGCATGCTAAAATTTAATTGCATAATTAAATATTAAAATATTCTAAAAGCAATCAAATGTTTTTAGATTCACAATATTTAGTATCTCGTGACATTTGTAGCTTAAAAAAAATATGAAAACTGAATTAAATTGAGGCAGAAATCTCATTCATATGCCGATCTGCCTGACAGATGATCGCTCTTAATGATGCTGGCAGCATCCACTCCGCTCATTATATTTTTCAAGCATTTATATATGTATGTTTTGGTGCACTTCACTGGATTTGGCTGATGCGTCAGCACTTGACCCGCACTCAGCCGCGCTCCAACACTCCCCCTCCATGGAGGGGATCCCCATCCTCCTCGCAGAGCACAGATCTGTCCCATGCTCCGAGCTCGTTGTCCGCCAAATTGAGTTGACGTTGACGTAATGCCCCGCCACTTGAGTAAGTCTCACTCACTGGCTCTTTTTTTGGATTTGTCATTTCTGGTTGCTGCCTCTGCCTCCGCTTTTTTTGGTATTTTTTTGATGAAGTGCATCATCGTCCCGGGCTGGTCAATTAGCTGCACATACCGCGTATCTCGCGAGAGTGGCAGCGTGGAAAGCTCAACATGGCAGGGCTGTTTTTTTCTTTTTTTGTCATCGGCCTTTAGTTTTTGTTTTTGTTTTTTCGGCTGGAGGTCACGTAGAGTCTTTAATTGGCCTGCCTGGGTTGCGAATGCGATGTCAATTTAGCGAGAAGAGCCCCAAAGTTCATAAGTGCCCCCGGCGCATTCTTAAACCCTGATCTTTTGCAATGCAGAAACTTCACTTAACCCACTTGCAAGACATGGCGACAACTGGATATTGGGCTTATTCAAGAGATTTTTTTATTTAAAGGTATAAAAGTGCCCTTCAGAAATATTAAACATAAAGTATTGTTACATTTCATGAGAGCTTAATTAATGATCATTATTTTCTTTATATGTTATTGTTCTTTTTGATTTTTAAAATCATAATTTCCTTTTTTACGATTTTTGTAGATTTTCCTGAAAATGCCCTAGGCACTAAAGAAAACTCTAAAAGATTTGTGGCCTCGTAAAGGTGGTAATTCATTTTCATTGTCGGACGACACAGTTCTACGGCACTGTTCGCCTGGAGTGTCCTTACTCCTGGCAGTTTTTTTTTTAAATGCGGAACTGGAACAGGCATCGAAACTGGCTCCAGCACCCTGGTAATTGTTTCTGAGCTCTACAACTTCCTAGCATGCTCGGCCAGAGATCATGGCCCCGTTCCATTCGCTTGGCACTCTCTCGCAGCCAGACACCGCCCCAGGAAAGTAACTCATATTCGGGGTATGTATAAATCTACAACTGGAACCGTAATGCAAGTGATCGTACATCCGACGGTTTGGGTGCTTTTGTTGTCCAGTTGTTGTTCGGTTATTGTTGCTGGCCACGAGACATGCACGAGCCAACTGTAACTGGCTTTCTTAGGCTCCTCGCGACTCCCCCTCGAAAAAAAGAGTTACCAAAACGGTAGCCTTTTTGGGAGGACGGGATCCGCCATAACAACCGCACAACAGATTCAGCCTGACTAGCTGGGTACACTGCTATATAAGTAGGTGAGTTTCCAACTATAAGAAAATATTTACCAAATATAATAGGATATATATCTTAACTGGTATTTTAAATTCAAAAACAGTACCCCTCTTTTTTGTAGTGTATCCAGGCTCTCTGGCCTGGTCTCATTGAAAAGCGAAAGATGACCAAATGGAAATGGTGAAAATGGCCAAACGGCAAAAGGCCAAAAGCGGACTGACAAAATATTTTCGCATATGATAAATGGCACAGTTTAAAGTAAGTCGAGCACTTGCAATTGTCCACGTCCCGTTCAGGCACAATGTAAATTTCCACCACTGACCATTTGCGAACTGGAGTTTTCCCGGCCCGGCAGCGCGGCTAATGGTGCCACACTAAACATTGGCAAAGCCATAATCTTGGCATTTTTCGCTAGGTCGCCGCTGCCCGGCTGCCTGATTTATGAAAGGGCCTCATAATTTAGCACAAATATGGTCATAACTTTTTGGCTTTTACTTTTTTGGGGGCCGGCGAAGCTGCTAATGAAGCGGCAGCCGCCCCAAATAGAAAACCAAAAACCAAAAATACAAAAAAATATTATACAAAAAAAATAATAAAGTTAAACAAAAGCAACAAGAAAAACTGCCAGCCAGAAACTCATTTAAGTGGATGGCCAGCCGATGGCCACTTGTTGCCTTCGTTTCCTAGCAATCAGAGGCGAACGTGTCACTCCTTACTGTCCAGGAACAGACTAAACAGGGGTACACTGTAAAAATTTAAGTCAAAATTCGATTCGATAAGAGCCTTAAATAAAGCCTTGATAGCAAAAATGTAATGTAAAAACAAATATTTTTAAAATTCCTGAAAATATATTATTGACGTTCTCACATGAATTTCAGCTATATTATACTTTTTCGCTTGGTGTAGAGTGCTGCAAACCATGCCGAACCGTGCCTATAATCATCATCAACATTACCAGCCGCCTGCAATATGGAGCAATCACGTCCTGGACCTGAACGGAGCCTGGCCAGCGGCCCCTGCTTCGAACTGGAGCTCCAACTGCTGCTCCAACTATGCTTCAATAAATGTCACTCCTCAAGCTTTGCATCTAAAAATTGATGACAATAATTTGTTGCATTTGCCCGAAGGGGGTGTGGCCAGCACCGATCGCCAGTCGCGGCTCAGCCCGAAATTGCCTCGGACAGACGGAGTTTTCCACTGCCTCCGCTGCTGCTGCTGCTGCTGCTGCTGCTGTTGTTGTTGCTGCTGCTGTTTTCAACACAATTTATACAAAGTGTCGCAGTTTTTGGCGCTTTGCATTTGTTGCTGACAGACTGCCCACCTGCCCGCCCCTCGGAGAGCCAAAGCTGCAACGGTTTGCACTTTGCCGATGCAAAAAAGTAACATAAATTTCGTCATTTTGTCACAAGTCGTTTGTTCGCGATACTCTTGCACAAAGAAAAAAATTTCTTTCATATTTAATAATTGTATTTATATACATTTAAAATTTACTGACTAAATGTATGATTATTTGAGAGCTAAAATGGGTTTCCTTTCAAAAGAAATAGAAATATTGAAATATTTCTTTTCAAGTTTATTTGTAGTACTTCTTTTCTAGAAGTGCTCACAGGCATCAGGGATTAGCGGCCTGTTACTGGGCTGGGCTAAGTCCGGGGCTGCTGATTGCAAAGCGATTTGCCGAATTGTTTCCCCCACAATTCCCAATCCCATAAAAGTCAACACACTCCTTTGGAGCCAGTTCAGTTCCAGTTCGCAGTTCGCTTTGATTTGATTTCGATTGCGCATTTTTCAATTTGATAAATTTATAGAGCCGCTGCCACCAAACAAATAGCTAGTGATCCCCGGCCAGGATAAGAGCTAGGAAATGTAATACACGCGACTAATAACTAGAGGAGGATCCTCCTCCTCCTCCTTCTCGAAACCAATGCCACATATATGTATGTTCCCCTGGCTTGCCAATCGCCTTGTAAATGGCATCAATTGCGACCTTTTGGCATTCTTACGGAAACATTTCGCTAATGAAACCGATACCTCAAGTGTCAAGACACGATCCGGTTCGAGTTGCCGTAGGTTCGGCCTGCGGTCAGTGGCTTCTGGCCAGTGGCAGTGGCACTGGCAATGGCTGCAGCATTTACCACACTCCGGCCAACTTATGGCAGCCATAAAAATGTTAAGCACAAAATATTTGCCACATTGGCACCTTTTGGCCCAAAAAAAAAAGAGAGAAAAAGGAGCATACCCACAGAGGAGCAGAAATGGAGCACGCACGTGGCAATTGTGTCCCGGGGCGAAATTGGATGCCACTCCTCCAACTCCTCCCAACTCCCGGTTTCATATCCCAGCCTCAATCTGGTATCCCGGACTTCTTCATTTGGGGTCGCAGCTGCAGTTAGTTATGCGGAAGCTGAATCCAATCATAATTTGAAGACTCTTTTCGGCCACCTCGAGTTATGATGACTTTCAAGAGCAATCAGGAAGGGGTCGGGGTAAAATGTGGTACCCAAGCGAGCGCACTGAAATGGGATACTTAAAATGATTTAGATTAAGAATTAGATTCCGCGAGGTTCATGTGAGGAATATTACTTTAAGTATTTATATCAGTGAGAAAATTAACATAGTAATTCTTAGATAACTATAAATTTTTAGTGTTTTAGTTAGAAAATTCTCTTGTAATCAAGAAGAATTCTTTCCTTTTTTGCTCATTAAGCAATATCTCTGTACAGAAAAATAACAATAAAGTTCAGTATTTGTATATATATATAAAGGCAAAGCCATATAATTTATGCGTTAAATAACTTTGTGTAATATAATTAACAACCTTCGTTTACAAATTTATGCACAGTTTAATTTTAACCAATAAATAACTTTAAGAGAAATTGAATGGTTAATTACTATTAATTTGATAATATACAATTTTCTTTTGAGTTTTTATTCATATTCCACCTAAAGCAAGGTTATAAATACATTTAATTAAATCAAAACTAGCTGAGAGAAATGAATATGTAAAAATGTATTTGCGTTTAAGTGCAAGCCATGACGTACACCTAACAGCATTTCTCCAATTAAAAATTGTATTTTACAAGCTC